GTGTGAGGACGCGGCGGTTGGTGGCATTGTTGGGGGATGCGTGCGGCGAATTGTTCGTGCAATTTGATTCAGGCGACTTGCGGTCGGCAGGGCGGCAGCGGCTCTCCAAAAAGTTCCGTGACACTTTGCAGCCCGCTTGGGGTCCAATGTGGGCGAGTATGCTGTCCCGGACTGCCCTGTACCGGTGGCAGCAAGACACACCGCTGCTGCCGGACTGGCCTGCGGCACACGCAGCGGCCTCTCGGGAAAACCCCGGCTCACCCAGAGGACCTTTGTGCCGTCTGGATTGCTTGGAGGGTGCGGCAGCATCAAGCGTCCCTCCTTCCCAGTTGGGCCGAACTCTGGTCGCAGGGGCGGATGGGGCGGCGGGAACGCGCGCGCGCTCGTGGCTGGTGGCGGGAGCTGCGACATGCGGGGTTACGCGGCGGCGGCGCTGGCTTGCGTGGGCGATATTTTGACAACTGCCGGGGGCTCACCCATAAGAAGAAACTGGTCGTGACCGCAGGGCAGCTGCATATGGTGAGCTGCGGCGATGGGCGCTTGGCCAAGCAGCTTGTAGTGGCCGGTGACAGCGCGCGGGTCTGTCGCGCGTGCTGCGTCCAGGGTCCATGCCACCGCGGCGAGGGCGAGCGCGACCAACAAGTGTAGATCCATGTTGGTGGCCGCTTCAGCTCTTACTAGAAGCGAACGGCGCCGCTTTACGTTCAAGTTTGATCACGGAGCTTGGTGTCGCTTTACTGCTTTTGTGTGCGGGTGACTGATATAGGATGGGTGCGAAACAATATTTCACAATTAAAAGACAATTGAAGCCGACCCGAATGACCAGTCTGCACGCGGATGGGGCACGTCTTCTCGCCTGTCGCGACCGGCCGACGGCATTTCAGGCGCCAAGCGAGCCTACGAGCGCAGCTTCCATGAAATCCCATATGTAAGAGGCTGAGACGCTTTATATTCCACACACACTGCTGGAGGCTTGCTACGTGCTTTCACGAGCGGGTGGCTTGCGCCGATGTTCAATTTCATGATTTCACCAGCGGGCTGTGCTCGTGCTGGGATGATGGGAGAGCATCACAGCATGCATGTGCTATTCTGCGACCCCTCTTGACTTTCAGGCACCGGCTTCAATAAGCTAGTGAGCGCGGCTGACATGTGCCACGCAGCAGGCCCCGCTGCATTGAAGCAAAGTGGTGCAACTGCTTTCGGTTGAGGCGGGCCTCAGGGCAGGGACAAACCGCTGTGATGCTGCCAATGCAGTTGATGCTGCACTTCCAACTGCAGGTATCATGCCTGAAATCATGTACAAGGCGTTGGATCTTGAACTCTCGGTCCATACAAGTGATCGTTGAGACATGATTTTTTGCTAAGCAGCGCTTGCACACGCAAAGAACAGCCTTGTTTGCGTGTATTGATGAAGCGATGCTGCAAAAGAATAAACTCATGCCTGAAGTCATGATATCTGATGGCTCCAAGATTTCCTAGCGGTCTGGCGTCACCAGGGTGCGTCATAGTGACGCCGGCAGCAGGACCAAGCTGTGCCAGCCAGTCAAGTGGTGCTGCAAGTATGCCACGCTCGCTGCAGAGGACCCCTTAATGTGAGACTCCGACACCTTACTCGTACGATCAAGCTACACGCGCGGTTCAGTCGCGTGACATTCGACGACAGAAAACTCGGTTCGTACTCAAGCAGCGTGAAAGGATGAACAAGGCGTGGAGCATCAGTTTCTGGGTGCTTTGGGCGCTGCTGGCTGCCTCGTGGATCCTTGCGTTGGCCGGCCTGGTGAGCGGCGCTGGCGTCACAGGCCGACGAGGGAAAACAATGCGCTGCGCACACAGCACACAGCCCAGAAGGCGTGTGCCAATGTGTCCCCTGGGTGCTCAATGCCCCCACTACTTTCCTGTGTGTGCCTCTCCACTGAGCTCGCTTGAGCCCGTGGCCGTGGTTTACCACCACCCTGCAGGCATCGGTGCAGAACAACTGCTACTCCGACCCCGGCGCGGCCCTGTCTGATGTCACCGGCGTCCATGGTGGGTGCTATTGCCAATCAAAACCAGCTCCTGCATGAGTCATCATGGGAGTTCAGGGCACAGCCTCACAGGACACAAAGCACATTGGGTTTGCAAACTGATAGGTCGTCTATTCATGGCACTTTGCACAGGGTAAACTTGCTTGACCCGGTCGCCCCTGCTGTGCACGCACCCCGCGCGTCGCTGATCATCTCAAGCCAAAACCCGCAAGCCCCACTCACCAAACCCACCCTTGCCTTCATGTGGGGCACCTGTGCCCCTCGCGCCGCTCGCTTAGCAGTCACGACTGACAAACACCATCGTGCAC